TCATATATCTTGACTTCAAAAAAGCCTTCGATCTGGTATCCTATGATCACCTCTTGGCAAAACTGGCCAACTGCAGCCTTGACCTCACCACAATCTGCTGGCTGGGAAATTGGCCCCGCGGTAGGACCCAGAGAGTGGTGACTGATGGAAGTCATAGTCAAGGTGCGCTGTAACCAGTGGGGTCCCTCAAGACTCTGTCCTAGGGCCTATACTTTTTAACATCTTCATCAATGATGTAGACATTGTCAGAAGTGGGCTGGCCAAGTTCACCGATGGCACCAAACTCTGGGGTAAAGCATCCACACCTGAGGATAGGAGAGCGATCCAGGCTGACCTTGACAGGCTCAGGAAATGGGCGGATGAGAACCTGATGGTGTTTAACACTGAAAAATGCAAGGTTCTCCACCTTGGGAGGAAAAACCCGCAGCATGCTTATAGGATCGGCAGTGCTACGCTGGCTAGCACTACAGAAGAAAGGGACTTGGGGGTCATGATTGACCACAAGATGAACGTGAGCCTTCAATGTGATGCTGCAGCTAGTAAAGCGAGCATAACGCTGGCTTGCATCCATAGATGCTTCTCAAGCAAATCACGGGACATCATTCTCCCATTGTACTCGGCCTTGGTGAGGCCACAGCTGGAGTACTGCATCCAGTTTTGGGCTCCACAATTCAAAAAGAATGTGGAGAAGCTTGAGAGAGTCCAGAGAAGAGCCACGCGCATGATCAGAGGTCAGGAAAACAGACCTTATGATGAGAAGCTGAGAGCCATGGGACTCTTCAACCTGGAAAAATGCAGACTCAGGGGCGATCTGGCCATGTATAAGTTTATCAGGGGTGCTCACCAGGATCTGGGGGAACGTTTGTTCACCAGAGTGCCCCAAGGCATGACAAGATCAAACGGTCACAAACTCCGCTGCAACTGATTCAGGCTGGACATAAGGAAGAACTTCTTTACTGTCCGAGCCCCCAAAGTCTGGAATAGACTGCCGCCGAAGGCAGTTCAAGCACCCATTTTGAACGCCTTCAAGACACATTTGGATGTTTATCCTGCTGGGATCCTATGATACCTGCTGACTTCCTGCCCCTGGGGCAGGGGGCTGGACTCAATGATCCTTCAGGGTCCCTTCCAGCCCAAATATCTATGAAATCTATGAATGGCAATTCCAGCTTCTGATGTTTGTGAGTATTATTAATCAAGGCATGGGGCCATGTGGGGTGGGAAGTCAGGAAAAGTTCAGAGTCAAAATGACACCAGAATCACGAGTGATGGAAGCAAATGGAAAGAGTGGGCTGAGGGAAATGTTAAGGAAGATATATTTTCCAAGATAAGTACTTCTGTGTTTTACCTCATTAGCTGATTATAACCAAGGCAGTATGTATTTCAGGATTCTGCAGGAGTGAGCAGTACAAACACTGTCAGCGATCACATGCCTTTCTAGTGCATTTGTTCACAGTGCTGTTTGATTTGTTTTTTTCCAGAGTCCTAAGCCGTAATCCGCTGTCAGCCATTGCCGACAAAGCTTTTCTTCAATTGCCAACCTTGAAGTACCTGTAAGTATAAACTCGGCTTGACTTTAACCAGCAGGTGTAAGGTATATCTTTGCATCTGCAAGGGACAACCCCTTAGCAGAGCCTACAGTGTGCTGAAGTTGCTGCTTGCTGCTTTTAGAGCAGCTAATATAGTACAAGTAACCCCAACAGGAACAGAAAAAGAAAAAAGCAGAGCCATTCACTCCATGCTTAACACAGGCCAGATTGCAAATGGCATGGGCTGACCCAAAGATGAACTGGTGGTGGTGGCTGAAGATAATGCTGCCTAGAGAATCCTGTTCCTCCACAGCCCGTTTTGCCTGAGCTGCTGGGAATCTGAGACAAAACTTTAAATTTTTATTTATTTATTTATTTATTTATTTGGATGGGGGAATTTCTCTCCGCTCCCTAAAACTGCCCCAGGCTATCCCTAAGATTTGCAGCAGCTCAGGCAAGCAGCCCTGGCATGCGGGCAGGGAAGAAATCCCCTCCACTCCCTGGGGCTGCCCCAAGCTGGTGGACCCTAGGCTGGGTTGGGGGGAAGCCACACAAGGTGGGGGCTCCCCAGTGCCACCACGCTGGGCTGCATGGGGAGGCACCTGGCCAGAGGACTTCTCCCTGCCTCCTGGGGTGGCGGCGGAAGCAATCAGCAGCTGGGAAAGGGGAGGGAGGAATTGCCCTCTGTTCCCCATGGCTGCCGGGCTGGGGAATGCAGACTGGGGAAACCCCCCAAAAGGGTAGGCTCCCCCAAGGTGGGCCAGTACCCAGACATGGGGTTGGGAATAGGTACTGAGGAGCCAAAAGGGGACACTTGGGTGGGCTGGCAATAGTCAGCAGGCTGGGAGAGCACCCCGCACTGGGCTGGGTCAGTGCGGGCATCCCACTGCCTTTCCCAATAGAAAACTGAATGTCAATTTAGTTGGCTATGGTTACCCGTGCAACCTACACAGCTTAGAGGAAGCTGCCTAGTTTGAACTGATTCAGCCTCAGGCTTTTTGACTGTCTGTACTTAGCCCTGGAGACTGGGAAAGTACCTTGCCACTGGACTCTGGAAAGGACGGGGAGCCTCTGAAGATGGAGAGGCTGCTTTTTGCTGAAGTGTAGAAAGCACTGAGTGTAGCAAGCACTGATGTGACTGAAGTATAGAAAGCAAAGATTCTGGGAGCTGATTAATGCCATGCTTCTACCTGGTTAACATAGATGCGGACTTGGTGCCTTTGGCGTTCTGGGTTGGCTGTGTCTGTGCTCCGGGATTGCTTTTATCAAGGCACCCCTGGAACCTGCACTTTTTGCTAGGAGTTCTAGTAATCATGGCCATCCTCATCAAACCCACATTGCAGGAGGGGCTCAGAGCCCCAGATGCTATCATATCACCTCCTGTGATGATTATAATGAGCAGCCCTGAGCTCTTACTTTAGCTCACATTACCTTTTACCTGCAGAAGTTCATCAATGCTGTTTGAGGAAGCCCTTTTTCTTCTGGAATATCAACATTCAAGCCACCCCACATGGCCCCAAAGGACCATGGCTTTTTCCTCTGTGCATTTTCCCTTTCAATGGCTGCCATTTTGATGCAGTTCTTGAGGGATGGCATTGTACCAGTTTTCTGCTCTCACTGTGTGAAACATGAATCAGACATTGTACACAGGGCTTTTGGGAAAAGCCTATATAGTGGCATTAATAAAAAGCATGCTGTCACCTATTAGCTTCTTGGCAGGCTATCTATAATACTTAAGTGCCTCCCATTACTTAAATGCTTCTGAGCTTCACCATCTCTAATGCATTTACCCTTAGAATATCCCTGAAAGGTAGGGGAGTGCTGTTACCACCACTGTACAGATAAGGCATCAAGGCACAAAGAGAAAATGACCTGCTTATAGTCACTCATATAGTCTGTGGCAGAACAAGGAACTGAAACTAAACCAGGACCCTAACCCACCAGCCCCTCCTTTTTATTCATGGCAGGGACTTTCACAATAGTACATATTATCTACTTCTTTGTCAGATGCGTGCATTCTCCTACACTAGAAACAGAATCATTATATCCCTTTTCTGTAGGAAACTTTGTTTTCTTCCACCTTGACCTTTTCTTTTCATAGTCCATTTGTGTGATTCAGTTTTTCATTTTACTCTGTTCTATTTCATTCCTACATGTAATGCTTCCAGCCACTGGACTCTGCACTCAAGGTATTTTCAAATCCATGTGGGTGGAGTGGAATAGGGTCCATCTTTGTTCCTTTGGGGAATTCCTAAATCCACACAGAACTTAGTATTGTTTGCAAGACAGGTCAGGTGATCATTATTTTTCACCTCATCCTACTAATTCCAGGTCAGGCCTTTGCTTATGAATCTCACACAGGTTTAGCCAAATAATCATACTGGAATGGATTCTCAGCTGTTCTATCCAGGCATAGCTTCACTGAAGTCAGTGGTGCTATACCTGACCTTACATCACCTGTCTACATCATCTGAGGATCTCACCCTTGCTTCTAAAAGCAGAGGCAAACCAATGCTTGCCACCTATCATGTTCAGCACTTCTGACACTGCATGATGTCCTATATTGTAATTATTTGTCTTTATTTTGCCTTTAATATTATCTGGGAGAATTTTATATTGCCAGAATCTGAATTACGAGACAAGGATTAGTAATGTTATGATCTTTTTTCAACTCTTATACAGTATTTTAAATAAAATGCAGGCTATCTTTTCATATTCAGTAACTATCGAGAAGATCGGCTTGTCCACAAAGCAAGCTTCCAATAATCAGGCCTGAAATGTCTTTTTTTTAACTCTTTCAGAGATTTAGGTGCAACACAAGTGACTGAACAGATATTTCACACTCTTCTCATTGTATCACTACACTTAGAAACCCTGTAAGTACAATGAACTTTGATTTTATTCATTGCATATTGCACTTGGTAAAAATAAATTATCTCCTTGAAAAGCAAAAGGTACCAAATGCAACATAAAAGTAATACCTTTAAACCCTGACTTCAACCTGTGTAGAATCATTGATTTTTCTGTAATAGTCTTGGATTACAAGTATCTCTTCCTGAGAATTATTGACATGAGCAACAGTATATCAGCTGAAATACATGATATCTGAAAAACTCCTGCAGTGATGATTGCCTTTGTGCGAGTCTATTTTGGCCAACAAGCCATGGTCAGATGAAGCATGGTATCTACTACTGTCTGTAGATAAACTACCAATGCCATTTTCTGAGAGTATAATTAAAGGGATGTCTTAAATAATAGATGCACACAAAACGTTTTTGTTTTGTCTTTGACACGTTTAAATTGGGGGCAAGGTAAAAGGCAAACTTCTACCACCATCTCTTTGTGAACATTTATTATTTTAACAATTTGGGGAAAAAACAGTATTGGGGTTAGGACACAGTGTTTCTGGCCACTTGATAAATGGTCATATTAATTGTGGCTTTTTGTAGTTTATCAGCATTGCAGAATGCAATTGTGAGGGGAAGAGGTATATGTATCACAATGCATCACTGAAGCTGCATTTTGTAACACACAAAGCTAAAATTAATCCTTTAATAAAAAAAATTGCAACAGTCCTACCAGTAATAAAACAATAGCTTTTATCTGTTGCTGAGATACAGGCCCAATAATAAAAATAGTTTCCCCAAACTCTAAATATTTCTAATAAAAAAATCGGATTGAACAATGCATAAGTCTTGTTTAATGGCCTGTGAGCACCTGAGACAGGATATCAGGTCTGAAAACCCTTCAGATGACTTTCATGTTAAGGAAATCAGGGAGGTCTCTGGACAACCATCTCAGACT